TGCATTAACTGTGGCGGCTTAAAAGATTTGCTAATAATTTACTTATATTGAAGTGTAAATGAAAACTGAAGATACCTACCTTTACCTAATTTTCAGCTTTATCCACATCTGCTAAAATATCGAAGAGAGTCACAATTTGGTCTGGAGGTCGGTCCGCCACAGTTAATACGAGTACGTGTATGTGTGTGTGTGTGTGTGTGTGTGTGTGTGTGTGTGTGTGTGTGTGTGTGTGTGTGTGTGTGTGTGTGTGTGTGTGTGTGTGTGTGTGTGTGTGTGTGTGTGTGTGTGTGTGTGTGTGTGTGTGTGTGTGTGTGTGTGTGTGTGTGTGTGTGTGTGTGTGTGTGTGTGTGTGTGTGTGTGTGTGTGTGTGTGTGTGTGTGTGTGTGTGTGTGTGTGTGTGTGTGTGTTTGAAAAACACCAAATTTTAAACTTAAGCTTTATTCCATCGTCCAATGAACTGATTAGTTTTTGGGCAGAGTCGAAACATCTGGGGGGGTACTTTATGGCGGGGTCATTTTTATATTTTATTGAATATATCTGTTATTTATGTTTGGAGAAGAAAATTTTTAAAATAAAAGTTACTTCTAATATTATTACCTATAATTTTTGTTTTATACAAAATTATTCTAAAATGGTCCGTATTAGAGAAATTTGACAAAATGAAAAAAAAAATATTTTTTTATAAAAATTGTTCAAATAAAAGTTGTTTGTAATATAATTCTCTATAATTTTTTATCTATGCATAATTTCGGCCTGATATGAAATGATTAGATTTTGGACAAAGTCGGAACATCTGGGGGGGTACTTTATGGGAGGCCGTTTTTATATTTTATGGAAAATGTCTGTTATTTGTGTTTGAAGAAGAAAATAGTTCAAATAAAAGTTACTTCTAATATTATCTATAATTTTTGTTTTATGTCAAAATTTCCTGAAATGGTCCGTATTCGAGAAATTTGACAAAATATGCAAAATTCTGATTTTTATAAAAATTGTTGAACTAAAAGTTGTTTGCGATATCGATCTCTATAATTTTTGGTATATATGATTTTTCTAAAATGGACCGTAATGGAAAAATTGGAGGAAGAGTGCTAAATTTAAATTTTTCAGTATTTTCGTTTTTAATGAATATCTATAGAAAAATGTTTCGAGGTAGATGTATATGGAAAATGTATATATTTAGTTTATCCTCTAAATATTTATAGAGGTGCTGCAATAGGTTGCACAAAATAACCGGAAAAAGCCTATAATAACTAGATAGGAAAGTCATGTGTTGGACACATCAGATTTTTTAATTCGTCTACCAAATTTTAGGCGCCTTTTATTTCTCTCAAATATAGTGTTTTAAAATAATATGTAGTATAATATTATAATAGATTTATTTACCTTAATTTCAAACGTATTCAAGAATATGTTTTAACTATTCAAAATGTATGAAACACAACAAATCCGGCACATAAAAATCACATAAAATTTAAATACTCAGCTCTGGGGAAGCACTGAATGTTACTTTAGCTATATCCTGTTTATGTGGGATAAAAACATTTTGTTGGGGTGAGAATATCTTATCGTGTTTCCGTGTTCTTTTGTTTATATTAGGGGGTAGATAGACGGCATTTTTATGAAATGGCGAATAATAGCGAACAAAATATTTTAAAAACCAATTTTTCGAGTTTTTCGCTAGGAAAGGCCTATTTACGATTTAAAACTCAGACAGTTAAAAGTTTAATAGGTTCATATACAAGACGATTTTTAAGACAAGTTTATAATAAAAACAAGTAGATATGAGAGTGTGATGCTTTAGACGCATGTTTTTGTTTTCCTTGTTTATTTACAAACGTAATATTATAAAAAGTGCAGTTGTCCGGGTAACTACAGAAACAACAAAAGGAGTACTACCTATAGGATCACCTAAAGTGCTTCGGTAAGTTTTGATAAACTTTATATATCTTAAGTGCCTTTAAAAATTAGCCCCCCATAAATTAGGTCACGAGCAGCCACTGAAAAAAGAATTCAAAACCAATAACCTCAAAAAATAAATATTTGATCTGGTATTAAAGGATCAAACATTTGCTAAAACAATTCAAAAAATAAAAGTTTAAACAAATATTTTTTTGTACGCAGTGTACATAACAAACATACCTTTAAATGTTTAATTGTTAAAAAAAAAATATGACGAAGTTTGTGATTATATAATATATAACCCAAATCATTCCTCGTACGATATACAGGGTAAATCCTAAGTTGATACTTTGTTTAACTTTACGGAGAAGTCGTTAAAATAAACAATTTCTCAAAAAAAAACAAACTCAAAAATAAGGAAGATACAGAATTAAAAAATCCTAATCTGGACGTGGAGTTGTATATTAAAATTTAGCTAAATAATAAGTCCGCTTATATTTCTTTGCTTTTTTTGGTTTTGAATCACGTGGAATTGTCTACTGTATTGTAAGTCAGTCATAATTTTAGTGATGGTTATCTTAGTGAATTAATTTGTTTAGTATGGAAAATTATGACAACAATTAACTTTACTGATATGTTCAAGCACTACAACATGAAGTTTGGCTCCACAAAGTTCAATTTTGTGAACGGTTCTTACTACGGCATAAATGATCACATTTTTCGACAAAAGTTCTAGATACGGACAGGACTGTATTGGATACATTTTGGCATAAATTCTTATTTTTGAGTTTTTTTAAGTTATTTGAAAAATTGTTTTTAACCCTATATTGCATACAGTTCTCCTCAAGCAATATTCATATCTAAAACTATTATAAATGAGTTCTACATACGATATACTTTTCGTAGTTCCATATTGTTGGTTATTGGAAAGATAAGAATCGAATGACGCAAGAACGCTGTCCACTTCAACTTCGCTTGACATCTGTATAAACATATTTAGAGACGAGGTCTCGTAGCGTGATTGTTACGAGTCATGTCGAAGTAGATATACGTCTTTATTTCGAGAACAACAATATTCTAAATATAAATTTGTGGTTTCTGGTGCATATAACAGACTTCTTTCAAAAAGAGAATAAAAACTTCTATAGATATCAAAGTTCAAAGTCGATGTTGCTTTGAATTAACTTTGTGCATTACCGCCATGGAACTTCCTACTATTAGCGCCAAAACTTTTTGTGCGGTAAATCACAAAACGATAGAATTATTCGAAAAATTTCAGAAGAATGTGATGATATTGAGCTGGACGACTATGAGTATGATATAGATGATCCTACATTTAAACCAATCTTAGATGATGTAAGTTTTTTACTGTAATACGTTTTGTTCCCACTACAGTTTGTGTTGATTTTAGGAAAGCGCAGGGTCTGATTATGATACGGAAGCCCGAGAAAATATATATTCAGGTGATGAAAATGATGAGATAGAAAGTCGACATGTGCAAGAACAGGATGATGAGTCAGCCACTGCTTTAAACAATAAAAAAAGTTTAAGAAAGGAAAATTAGAACGTACACAAAATAAAACAAAAATTGTATATCCTATCCCTCTTTGGAAAGGATCTCTTCATTGTCCACAGAAGTTCTGACCCCACTGCTCTATTTGAAAAAAATTTGAAGACGAACTTTTGAAGATATTAATAGAACATTCAAAGCATTACTCTGTTCAAAGCAATCCAAATCAACCTCATTGTGTGAAACCATTTGAAAAAGAGCAATTTATAGGGATTACATGTTTTATGTTAATATATAAATTACCGAAACAAAGAATGTATTGGAATTATATTACTAGAAATATTGATCAAATTGCTAACGTCATGAGTGTCAACAAGATGGGAAGTAACAAAACGAATCTTTATATTAGTGATAACGAAAAACTACTCCCAAGAGGCTCTACAAACTATGACAAATTATATAAAATGAGTAGTCCAGTTACCAAACTCCCTGGGTCAGTTTTTATCGATCGACGAACAAATACTTCCGTTCAACGGTAAAAGTAGCCTAAAACAATAACACCCTAAAAAGCCGCGAAAATCGGGTCATAAAATATTTGTGTTAGCATATGCTTATGGTCTACAGCGGAGTTGCAAAACACTCCAATTTGCCTGACGTAGGAGCTTCTTGAAATGTGCTCAGGTTAGTGCAACTGATACCTCAACACAAAGATTTCAAACTCTACTGATAATTGGTTCAATGGAATTGAATTACTAATTCAGTTGGATATGTGTTTATGTGCCTTAGGCCCAGTTAGAGTCACTTAGAGTCAGAGTTCACTGACGACAACATCCTAAAAAAAAAGGGGACAGGATAATTTGAACAGTACAAAACTAATATAGATGGATGTCAACTATTAGCCGTAAAATGGTTTGACATCAGAGGCGTTACAATTCTTAGTTTATATTAGGTGCGTATCCTTGTGGAACAAAGAAACGATGGAATTGAGCATGCCAACAATCTATTAAATTACAGTGCCCTTCTGTATTACAACTGTATAATAAATGCATTGACGGTGTTGATCTGCTAGATTCTCTGCTGTCCTTTTTTCATTTCGTAGACTTAGCAGTTATACAAGCTTGGCTATCTATACAAGAGACTGTGATTCATTGCAAATGAACAAAAAAGAGCAAATACTTCTTTGGCAATTTAAAACAGAAATTGCTCAAAGTCTTTGCATGTAGGGAAAAACAGTTAGTAGCAAACGAGGTCGTCCTATTTCAACTTAGTCTGTCAACAATGATTTTCTCGAGAAAAAAAGAAAGTATCACTCAACGTTCAGAATTATCATTCTTTATTTATTTTATGCACATTGTTACCAAAATTTTGAAAAAAAAAAAAGTAAAAAATGTTGAGATATTCAAAACGTTTTATTAACACAAAATACATCTGAGAAATTAATTTAGTAATTTTTCATGTCGTTTTTGTAAATTAATGCAATATAGGGTTTGACGTCTATTCACAGTTAAAAAAACTGTCAAGTTAGTATTCATCCTGTACATAAAAAACGAATAAACATAATCATCGATATAGTAGGTATCTATTAACTTACTTTCAATTGGTCTTGATGTCAATTTTTGCTTCAATAGTTTTGTTGCTTGATTATTCCAGTATTCTTTACTCGTTTCTTCTTCCATTGCTTCCGCAGTCCTATTCCTTACTAGTTTGTTTGGATAAGGCACGACATCATCATCTGCAATTGTTAATAAGAATAAGACAAATTGTCATAAAAATATAAGAAGATAAATAAGGGTGCAAACGAAAGTCGTTATAAAAATAATATAAATTATGATAAAAACAATGGATGAAAAATTACAAAGTCAAATTAGTAATAATTAGAATTCATAATTTTATAATATACGACTGTGTATTAGAGGCGCTAGTGTATTATATAAGTGCCATAAAAGAATAAAACGTGTATGCTTATGTCTTTTATTTAAAGTTAATTAGACATACCAAGATAAATAATTTAAGATAAAAATAAAAGAACAATAGTAAAAAATATACGTTGAATTCACATTAATTAAACCTTTATAATGTATAATGTGAGGTTTAATAATGAAGTAAAAAATATATGAATTTTATTGGCTTATAAATATTTTAACTTCAATACTAGTGATTGTTTAAGAAAGAAGGAACTGGTAACAAGCGTACCTATTTTGACATTAGACAATAGACAATAAACCTAAGACACACAAATATTGACACAAGACAATGATAAGTAAATTTGAACGTTCGAGAGTGGTTCTGGAGTCAACCAGATTAGACAATACTAATCATTAAAGAACAACAATATATAAATACTGTAAGATAAGGAGGAGGGATATACTAGGTTTTTATGGATATGAATCTTACAGAGGTCTGAAGAAACCTAATTACATTTGGTTTAGGAAACTATTGTGCGACCGAAATTCGATTTTACAATATTCAGGCAATCTATCAAAACCAACTACATAATACCTTTCAATTCTAATGACCCTTTTCAACATAAATGTCAGGTCTTTCTTGTTATGTACACAAACTCATCAACCTACCTCTTTCAGAGAAAAATTGTAAAACTGAAACTAACTTACTTAAACCACTAGCTTCAAACAACGAGTTTCCACCAGATATACTAAACAGTATAATGAATTGGGTTTTAACCAGAAATAGTAGGAACTTAGTAGGTACAGAGTTACGCCACTTTTTCAAAACCACAGAGCTGGGCTGAAAGAAAGAACGGAGCCAAGAATCCATCACGCTTGCAACCGAAAGACGTGCTATTCAGTGGTACACGGACAGTTCCAAAACCATAGAAGGAACTGGAATAAGAGTGTATGGGCCGAGAACCAAGCACTCCGAAAGCGTGGGAAAATACCCTAGCATCTTCCAGGCGGAAATTCACGCCATCGAGAAGTGTATCCAGTTTAACATCGAGAGAAACTATCATAGACAAGAGATTGTCATCATATCCGATAGTCAAGCAGCCATCAAAACGCTGAGCTCTTACGTAATCAGCTCAAAAATGGTCTGGAGATGCCTAGAACAATTGAATGAGCTGGGCGAGAAAAATAGAGTTACTCTCACTTGTGTCCCGGGACATAACGAGGTACAGGGTAACGAAATTGCAGATAGTCTTGCAAGGATAGGGGCTCAAACACCCTTTGTAGGATCTGAGCCGTTCTGCGGTATCAGCAGTAACATAATATTAGGAGATATTAAAAAAGAATTGGGTAGTAGAAGAACCGATAATTGGAACAATCTCTTGGGGCTGAGACAGGCCAAGATACTTCTGGGTGAATATAACCAGAAAAGATCGGAAGCCTGCATCTGCCTGAGCAAGAACAGGCTACATATTGTAACAGGGATCCATACCGGCCATTGCCGACTAAAAGGATACCTAAGTAAACTGAGAGTAGTAGAGGATACTGAGTGCAGATTCTGTGAGGAGGAGAACGAAACCTCCATTCACATCCTTACTGAATGTGTAGCACTCCAGAATACAACGGCACTATATCTAGGCGGATATCAATTAGAAGAGGGAGATTCATCTAACTTGAAGCCACTTCAAATCCTACACTTCCTTAAGAAAATAGGATTCGAAGGGTTGTTATAGGCATTGAGACATTTTCTTGGTGCATTAGCGACAGAAGGAGGCACAATAGATCTTTTAGGTCGCAGTGTATTAACACCCCATTCCCAACATAACATACGCCACTTTTGAAAATATCGTTCCATCCATACAATTTGTATAAATGGAATGATATTTTCAGAGGTGGCTTAGCTCAGTGCTATACTTTCGATGCAAAGGAAAACATCTAATATTTCCTTAAAACATCCAACAACAATACTGTCATTTACAGGTCTCTACCTTATTTTCGATGCATTTCTACTGATATAGCTAAAATATTACAGAATAACGTAAATTGCCTAAAAATATCTTTTAAAAATCAAAACGACATTAAATCGCTACTTTCTTAAACTAAAGACAAGATTTACAAGTTGTCTAGGAGTGGTATTTACAAACTATAATGTAATGCTTGTAAATTGGTAGAACCATCAGACCTCTAGAGACGCGGATCAAGGAAATCCTATCTAGACCTGGGAAATCTAATTTTGGCCATCATATTAAATGTAATAACCATAGTTTCTTCACCTCGTCAGATAGCAAAATTTTACAAATATACCCACGGAGGGTCTGGAAACTGTAGTTTAAATCCTTTATTTAAAATACTTTGGCAATGACAACAACTAAATTAAAATACACCTAATTCAATTTAATTCATTTCTTTTATTTTAATACAGTAATGATTACACTATTTATTCAATTAATTCTAACCTATTATATCACTTAACATTGTCACATTTTATTTGTTGTTAACTTATGTTCTATACGGTAAATTAAATTGATCTTCAATCAATTTGATGACTCCCTTATTGAATTTTAATTTTAAAATTTTCAATTTGTTATTTAATTTTTTAAATTTTATTCTACATGTCTGTTTGTCACTGTAACCTCGTTAATGTTTCTTGAGCCCACCCCCATGGACCATACTTATCATATTTACTGCGGTTGCCCAGTCGCAGAATATGCAACTCAGCACACAGCTGTATCGTAGAAGGAGAAATAAGTGTATTAACTTTACTTTGTTGCTGCCTAGTATGGATATAGGTAGTAATTTGTCTTCACTTTAACGTTTTTTACTTTTTTTAAAAAAATATTTCTGTTCCTTCTTCCTTTCTAATTTGCCCTTTTTCCGTTGACTAGATGCCATATACTGGTCAAGGTCTGATCACTTTTAACTACCTTTAAGTTCTCTGGCCTAGTATGGATCAATAGTCATTGTCCTTGGCTTTGATGATAGTTTTATAAGCCGTAAGCGCTCAGCCTACTTTTTAATAAAATATTTTCAATTTTTACAAACTGTAGTACTTATTCCACTTTTATCTAAAAGAAAAGATATTTTTGTTTAATATGGTTTTTATGAAATAATTGTATATATCTATTTATAATTATAAGTCATTTCTAATAAGTTTTCTCTACTGTTAATTAAATTGACAAAGACTAATAATTTTAAATCTCCCCACAAAAAATCTATGGGCTTTAGGTCAAGTAATCAAAAAGACCAAACTATTAAACTTCCTTTTACTGTCTAGGTACATGAACCTCATATCACGTCGTATTGCCAAAAAGGGATCTTCTAAAAGTTCTGACAAATTATGGTAAAGAAATTTCAAATAAACGTTTCCAATTAATTATTGGCAGTATAAATGATCCAATTAAATGTTACTAGATAATAGAAAAAAAAGGACCCTCTCACCAGTTTGGCTTCAAAGAAAAACACTCGATCATCAATCAAGTTCATAAAATCGCAGATATCATCGAGAAGTCCCTAGAAGACTAGAAGAAAAAAGTTTTTTGGATGTGGCTCAGGCTCTCGACAAAGTATGACATGAAACTTGATTCAAAAACTGAACATGTTCCTGCCACTTGAATGCTCAGAACTATTAAAATCCTATTTATCAGAAAGTTCAAGAGAAAGGAGCATATTCCGACCTAAGATCAAAAGCCTGGTTGCTGAAAAATCACGAAGGCTCTAATGGAAAATTGCAAAAATCTATTGACTAGATTAACAGACGAAAAGATGACGAATTAAATTGAATTAAGGCAAATCTATCCATATCCACAAAATTTTCCCAATTACACTTAAATGACTTTTGCCAATACAGCAAAATATTTGGATATAAAACGTGTTGCCAGACTTCACTGGAAAGTCCACATTAAAAAGAAACGCGAGGAGCTTGGTATAAAATACAAAAGAATGTATTGTTTGCTAGGAAAAAACTCCAAATTATCCACATACAACAAACTGCTCCTTTACAGGCAGATATTGAAACCCGTATGGAGATTTGGTATCCAGCTCTGGAGCTGTGCCAGTAAAAGTAAGGTCCAAGTTATTCATTGTTTCCTGAACAAGGTAATAAGGAACATCGTCGATATACTCTGGTACTGCCACAAAACTGACCTCAATAGTGACCTTAAAGTGAAGACTGTTGAAAATATAGTAGAATATTTTTTAAGTGATCACAAACAACGACTGCTCCAACATGGGAATGTTGAGGTTATCCAGCTTCTCAACAACGTCAATCTAATAAGAAGACTTACGATAACCAAGCTTTTTGAGTTGGTTAAGTAATGTTTGATAAAAGCAGAGTATAGTGCGGTTTAGTGTTGGTAGCGTAATTAAATAATAATTAGACTCTAAGGTACACCAGTGAGTAGAACCTTAGTTTATGACAACCCTAGATAAGTTAGGTTAGAAGAAGTAACCTTAATGACCAGATTGTAATAATCGAAAATACTTTGCTTGGGGCATTTATTAGAAAAATAAATATGGCTAGATTATTTCGACCAACACGTTCATGAGTTCAACTTATGATACATCATAATAGAAGCTTGGGGATTTTCGTCTGCCCATAAATGCAAATTAAGGCAGTTTATAATGTTGTTTTTAGAAAATTCAGCTTCATCTGTAAGGAGAACGGAACCCATAATATTTGCATCGCTTCTGTGCCGATCTAAAACTTAGTTCGAAAATCGATCTTTCTTAGAAACTCTTCTGGAAGAAGTGCATGGATTTTTCGAAAGTGTTATTTATTTTTCTAAAGAGAACGTAAATTTTAAAAAATTAATCTAGACGAAGGATTTTCGGA